GAATTCAGATTCCATAGTAGACCGTGCTATACAAGTCTATTTTTAAGACTTCTATGAAATAGCACCTGCACCCAAAGTAAACACATAGTCACTAGTGGATCTAACTTCATCATTGTTAGCAACCCAATTTGCATCACAAAAACCTTCTAAAACAACAGGAAATTTATTAAAATGCAAACACCACTCCATAATACCTCTCAAATACCTTAGCAAACGATGAAGAGTATTTCAGTGTTCACTACTAGGGTTGTGAGTATATCCACTCAATCTACTAACAGCATAAGCAATGTCAGGTCGTGTATAATTAATGAAAAACATTACACTATCAATTATCTTAGCATACTCAGTTTGAGAAATACTAGATTCCTTATTCTTTTTCAAGTGTATGCTAGGATCATAAGGAGTTCTCACAGGTGCTACATCAAAACAATTAAACCTTTTCAACATTTTCTCAATATAATGAGACTGAGATAATAAAAAAATCATTAGAAGTTCTTTTGATTTTAATTCCTAAAATCACATCTGTTTCTCCAAGATCTTTCATTTTAAATTTAGAAGACAAAAAATTCTTAGTCTCATTAACAACATTCACATTAGAGCCAAAGATTAACATGTCATCCACATACTAAACATATAATAACACTATCTGATCCTATCATCTTGGAATAAATACAAGTATCAGATGCATTAACAATAAAACCATTATCCACTAATATGTTATTAAACTTTTTATACCATTGCTTAAGTGCCTGCTTTAGACCATACAGAGACTTTCTCAATTTGCATACTTTATTCTCCTGTCCTTGGATCACAAATCCCTGAGGTTGAGACATATAGATCTCTTCCCCTAAATCACTATTTAGGAAAGCCGTTTTAATATCCATTTGATGTATCACTAAATTATGAATAGCGGCTAAAGTAACAAGAGTTCTAATAGTCGCTATCTTAGTCACAGGAGAATAAGTGTCAAAGTAATCAATGTCTTTCTTTTGGTTAAACCCCCTAATAACAAGTTTAGCCTTATATTTCTCAATTGTACCATCATGTCTCAATTTTTTCTTAAATATCCACTTGCTACTTATGGGTTTACAACCTTTAGGCAAATCAGACAAGTCCCAAGTATGATTAAAAACTATAGAGTCTAATTCACTTTTAATGGCCTCTTTCCAAAAACTAGCATCTATTGACCTCGTTACTTCATTATAAATCTTAGGGTCTTCTTCTATTAAAAAGATTGATACTAATTCATTATTCAAAATATCAAGATCAATATTTTCAGTCAAGAAAGTAGTGATAAAGTCAGGACCAAAGATGGCTTCAATTCTACGCCTCTTACTCCTTCTAAGTTTATTTTCATGCTCATTAGTAGTAACACTAGAAGAAGGTACAATATGAGAATTAACAGGCATAGATGTAGAAGTATTATTAAGCACATCACTAGGCACATTATTTTTCAATGGAAAAACATGCACAAAAAATTTCGCATCTCTAGATTCACAAATAGAATTATCATTCAAAGACATAAATCTATACGCAACACTATTTTGAGCATAACCAATGTAAATAGCATCAAAAGTCTTGGGTCCAACAATTACTTGTTTAAAATCAGATACACCAACCTTAGCCAAACACCCCTACACTTTCAGAATTTTCAAGTTAGGGGCAAACCCTTTTCATAACTTATACGGGATTTTATCTAACTTCTTATGAGAGACTTTATTAAGAACATAGCATGCAGATAAAATANTCTGTTCGGCTACACCATTTTATTGGGGAGTATAGGGAGCACTAACCTAATGTATAATACCATTTTTCTCACAAAATACTTCTAGAGTATTAGTACTATATTCATCATCCCTGTCAGACCTAAGTCTCGATTTTTCTGTCTAATTGATTCTCTACTTCTGCCTTGTATTTTAAAAATATGCTTTCAACCTCATCTTTTGACTTAAGAAGATATACCTTAGTGTATCTAGAAAAGTCATCTACAAAGGTGATGTAGTATTTCTTTCCACCCTTACTAACAGTGTTCTTGAAATCTGCTAAGTCTTAATGTACTAGTTCAAACAATTCTGTCTTTCTACTAGTTACATTCTTAAAAGGCTTTTTGGTATGTTTTGCGTCTACACAAACATGACACTTAGAAAAATTATCAACATTAACTGCAGGAATTAATTCCATTTTTTAAAAGTCTTTTAATAGAAGCAATATTAATATGACCTAGTCTACCATGCCACAAATCAATAGACTTAACAATATAAGCAGAATTAAAAGTACTAGCATTATTAGTAATCTCTTGAGCGATGTCTAGTACAAATAACCCCCCACTAAGGTAACCCTTCCCAATAAAGTCTCCCTCACGAAAAATAACAACTTTATCAGATTCAAAAATAAGTTTAAGACCTACTTTGTTGATAAGCGCACCACAAACTAAATTTCTACGAAGGGAGGGTACATACAGAACATTGTTCAAAGCTAAGGTTTTACGAGAAGTTAACTTAAGGAGAATTTTTCTTTTACCCATAACTCCAGCTGTAGTGGAGTTACCCATGTAGACACACTCGCCATCATCAGATTCCTCAAAGTCGTGAAACAGCTCCTTGTTGGCGCAAAGGTGCCTTGAAGCGCCTGTGTCCAATATCCAGTCAGTCTTGTTAGCCACCATGTTCGCCTCAACGACCACATCAACAATGACATCATCACCCTCAGTAAGGTTAGCTTGGACTGGAGCTTTTCCTCCCTACTTAGAGCTTTGTCCTTGTCTCTGGTTGCACTGAAAGGCCTTGTGACCAATTTTGCCGCAGACATAGCAAGGTCCTTTCGACTTTTGAATATGGCCCTCTGGCTTATTCAAGTAATTCTACTTCTTCACATGTCCTTTCTTCTGTTTTACTTTAAACTAGTCTTTCACAAAAGTACTAGAAGATTGCACAAGGTTAACTTTAGAAGAATTAAGAGAGAGAGAGAGATTTTATCTTATCCTTAAGTCGTTCAGACTCCTCATACTTGAGACTGTTTGCTTCCTCAGTCCTCATGTGACTGATCACTTCTAGAAGAGTAAAGTTTTTCTTCTTGTGTTTTATGAGTTGATTCCTGTAATCACTCCAAGAAGGTGGAAACTTTTCAAGCAGAATATTAGCCTGAAGAATCTCACACATCTCCATGCCTTCGTTCAAAACATCAGCAGTCAAGTTCTCATACTCGTGAACATGCTCTATGATTGGCTTATCATCAACCATCTGAAACTTGATCCACTTTCCAACCATGTACTTCTTTTTTCCTGCGTCATCTGTACCATATTTCTTCTCCAAACTGTCCCATATAACTTTAGCAGATTTATAATTTATAAACAAATCAAAGAGAGGGTTAGTCATATGGTTAAGCAGATGCCCTCAAACAGTTTTATTATACTTTTTAATTTTTTTCTTAACAGCATGATCAACAACATCAGTAGTAGCAACATTAGAACTATCATCAACCACATCAACAGGTGGTCCATTAAACTAAACATAATCAACTTCTAACTGTTCAAAGAAAATTAAAAGTTTGTGGGACCAACGCTTATAATTGTTTCCATCTAAAGGTTCAAGAGCAGAAAGTGTTTTGTTCAAAGTGGTAGCCATTAGTCAATATATTATGTAAGAATCACTTTCAAATTGTAAGAAAAATTAGAAGATAGTACTGACTAAGAGCAAGATGGAAACAAGAACAACTTATCGAAAAATACTGTGTCGTGGTAAGCCACTGCCTTGAAAGCGATTTCGACCCGACTGAGTGCAAATCGTTAAGACCGGTCGCTCCCTAAGGTTCCACAATACCTCCAAACACGTGCACTCGTGGTTGAAAGTTTGAAATTTGCACAATACAATTGCCCATTTTTGGTTGAAGTAGAAAAGAAGATGAATGTGTTTTTCTATGTTGGATTATTCACAAAGAAGGCTGCCTTTTGTAGGCAAAGCTGCTGAACAGTTACAGATGAAGAAATTAAGCTGTAGCTGTTACAGAAATTAAAATGGAGCCGTTAAAAGAATTAAATCATGGCTGTTACAAAAATTAAATTGGACGTTACAAAATCCTATTCAAAGAGAAAGAATTTGGACATAATTTTAGCAAAACCAAATTTGGATTAGGCCTCACGTATATCTCGCGCGCAGGGGGTGGGGGCAAATCGACCCGTTTTGCCTTCAGGACCAACTTCTTATGTGCGCGAGACCACTCCCTTTTACTAGCTCTTTACAAGCCCAACAAAGAGTAATTCATTATAAAGTGAAGAAAAAGACTTTCCACGACCAATGAGAGACACTTTGTCTTTCACAAAAGACAAAGAAGTAAAGAAGGAAAAAGGGACTACAAAGAAATCTTTGACTTTGCATTATAAAGTATAAATAAACCAACACTTCAGTTACCGAGGACATGACCCTCGATAGGGGAGTGTTGAGGTCGAGGATTAGGGTTGTGGGTTGACATGTAGTTGAGAGTCTCTTCTAGTCGTACTAGTAGTGTTAGTACTAGTCTTGTATTCTCCTATTCCGAGTTCCTTGTTGTTAGATGATATGGCATTATTGCCGGTAGTTTTTGCACTTCTCTCATAGTTTCGTATTCCTAGTTTCTTTGCTATTACATGTTGTGCTATTTGTTTCTGTTATCTTATTTCCTTGCCATTGTTACTATTTATTTATTGTGTCCTTTTCACTATTCTTGAGCCGAGGGTACCTCTTTTTCTTTATAAGGCAGGGAAAAAGTCTGCGTACATATTACTCTCCCCAGACCCTACGTGTGAGATTGCACTGATTTTTTGTTTGTTTGTTTGTTGTTGTTGTAAAGTTATTAAAAATTTTATGAAAAAACTATGCTAGTCGCAATAATATTACAAGAAAAAACAAAACAAAACAAAACTGAAGGAGTAAATAGTATTTTCATCTGCTCAAGTATTTAATCGGGCGGCTGTTACGCGCGACTCCATATATTTCCCTGTGAGCTCAACCGCACCGTCTCCATATATAAATACCCATCTCTCTCATCGGTTATTCCTTTTCTTCCCCAAATACGAATTTGGCCGCTATTAGAAATTCTCTTTCTGCGCGCTTACTTTCAATCGATCAAACTCGCGAAGTGCAATTATGGTTTGCGAAAAGTGTAAGTGGTGTAAATTCTTCTCTTTTTCCCCAAATTACTTCATTAGCTTCTCTTATGTTAAATGCATGCTTTTACCCAAGCAATTTCTGGTACAATTGACTTAGACCTAGGGTTTGGTAAATTTGTATTCTGCAGGTGAGAAGAAGTTGTCGAAGGTGATTGTGCCTGATAAATGGAAAGAAGGTGCCAGTAACACTACTGAAGGCGGCGGCCGTAAGATTAACGAGAACAAACTCCTCTCCAAGAAAAAAAGGTTACTTTTTCATTAATTGTTCTTTTTTTGGCTAATCACTTTATGGATTTACCAGGTTAGCTCCTATTTTTACCAGATAACCAATTACTGATTATCATAAAGACGTGCCTGTAATTACCTTATAATTGTTGCCTAAATATTTTTTACGCCATCCATACATAGAACTTAAACTCATTACTTATACTCATCGTCTTGATAGTGAGCTCCTTGAGTATTATTTGTTATTCACCTTCGACCAATTGTAAGAGGAAAAGAAACTAACAGAGATAATATGCTTGCTTTCGTCTAGGAATTTCTGATTTAAGAGTGATGCCGGTTTGTTGAGACTCGTTTTACTACTTGATACATACCAAACTTTTATCACTCATAGCTCAATTCCCATCTTCTCTAGTAGGAATTTTAGTGAACTAAGAGAGTCAGTTTTTTTTTTTAATGAAGTAAGTTGTTATCATTGAAAAGGCATCAAGAAGATGCATAAGGAAACAAAAGGTTACAAAGAGAGATGACTGTTAGCTCTATTAATACAAAAAAAGCTATGCTAGGATCAGAGAGCTAACAAAGTCCAAAAAATAGTCGGTGCTAGTAACAGGGGTCATGAAGTTCCAACTAAAAAGACTAACTAAACATCTAGCCTTCAGGAAACATGTTGGAGTTGAGATACTATCAAAACATCTGCGATTTCTCTCTGTCCAGATACACCAAAAAATAGTTGCTCGGATCATTTTCCATATCCTTCTGATGGCCTTATCAACTTTCCACAAAAACCAGCTATCATAGGCTTCCTTGATTGATTGAGGGGTGACCCAGGATAATCCAAAAATGGAATAAAAGAAATTCCATAAGTCAGTTGCAACTGGACAATGAAGGAATAGGTGGTTAATGCTCTCTGGGTTATGGAGACACATGTAGCATCTGTTGACCAGTATAGTGTTTCTCCTGATTAGATGATTAGATTATCCTGAGTGAGACACGCCCCTTTCAATGCTGTCCATGCGAAACATATTACCTTAGTAGGCAGTCTAGTTTTCCATATGTGCTTCCAAGGCCAATTCTGTAACAAGAGAGTCAGTTTTTTTGTAATGCTGGTCATATAAACTGATTAGTTGTGGTCAATCGAAATTGCATCGTACATTTAGAATAGTCCTAAGAAGACATGATCCCAGGCCGATACTTGACATGTACCTCAATTGTCTGTTCTAGATCTGATTATATAAATTGTGTTTCGGGAAAGATCCGACATAGTTTTATATGGATACCGTTTACTGACTTGAGTATTAATCTTAGATATGTTATTGTTTGTATCATTTATGAGAAATTGGATGTAATGTGCGACTGTTGAATCATGTCGTTAGTGCATATAGATATGTTATTGTTTGTATCATTTACAAGTAATTGGATGAAGTGTGCGACTGTTGAATCATGTCGTTAGTGCATATAGATATGTTATTGTTTGTATCATTTACAAGTAATTGGATGAAGTGTGCGACTGTTGAATCAATGTTGTTAGAGCATATTATGAAGCTAACTTTATGGAGAAAGGTTAAGAGACATAATATGAAGCTAACTTAAGATGGTGAAATATAATTAATTTGGCTGAGATCTTTTGTTAGCTTAATTATGAATGATAATGTTTTGGGTACTTCTTTTAATAGAAAATATAAGGAAAAGATTGAATAGGTGATATGGGAGAGGACAGAATCCAAAAGTGTGTATCCTAAAAGAGAAGTTCAAGTCTTTTTCTTTTGTTTTACTACAGTAATTTGGATACACAACTGATTCTTGAGATTTTTAATCTTTAAACTTTTTGAGGTGAATTCAATTTTGCTAACTCTAAGGTTGCAATCTTGTGTTTTAGGTTAGTTAGACTGAACTATACTCCAGTTTCATATAGTATGAGGATCCGGTTGTCTTATTTAAGAGGCATCTGATATAAACTGATGATTGAGCTAAACATAACAAGGTCTGCCTAAATTACTGTAGTAAAAGTCTAGAGGATCTAAGGAAATCATAATTAATACTGTATAGGATAGAGATGTAAAGAGATGTGGTGCTGGCAGAATGGTCACTGCAAACAGACAAGACTAGTAAATGAATGAATGGTCAGTGCCTACGGTAAGTTATTGGGTCTCTACCAAAGATCGTAGAAGCTTGGATACCATGTGAAAATAGGGAAAAAGGGAGAGGGAGACTAATTGAATTGGGCTATTAACATAGAAACGATCATTCTGTTGAAAAGTTTATCTTGTAAATCCTTCTTTCGTTATAACCGTTGAGTTTGAAAAGTTTGTGATGCTGGAGTGTAGGGTTTGATGATAGTGGTCAGTACTCACATCACTTTCAAAATTCTTGCATGTCAGGGTTGAGTTGTGGTTGTAGTCCATTAGCTAGTTTGATTTCAAGACCCCTTCCCTACACAAGATTGGTGAAGATAGTCCCTTAGCTGAGACCGGCATTAATTTTGTGAGAGATGAGTGGGGGAATAGTGGCATATTGAAAATAAAGTAAAAAAGAATTTCTGGATCATGACATCAAAATGCAACTCAAACCACAAAAAAGGACAAATTCAAATGTTTAACATTTGACTATGATTTTTCGAAATAGTTTTAACTATGAATAGTTGTGATTCACCTTACTTTTAAGTAGCAAAAAAGATGCCTTTTTGTCTTTTTATTTACTTGTATGCCCTCAGTAAATTTGTTTTTTTTTTCCGGAGATTGTTTGTGCAATGTGATGATTAACTACCTTTGCTTCTCTTCTAAAATCTTGAGATGCTGAAGCGCTGTGGTTCTGGAAGGCTCTGTTATTGGTAATTATAATAAAAGAATTTATAAAGACCATGAGAAATGATTAGTTATTATATTTCAATTTTTGTGTGTAGACCAATGGCTTAGGTTGATAATGGGAAAACCATCTTGGGTAAACATTTTAGTGTTCTTTCTGTAGGTTTTGTTGGTCACTGCATCAAATTTCGTTACTCGTGATTTTTTCCCCATTATTCCATAATAAGATTCTGTGGATAAGACTGTAGCTCATTCAGATGTTCTTCTGTATTATTTAGAACTTCGCTATTTTCCTGACTTAAGTATTCGACAATGTTCATCATCAATCCAAGGGTCACGTGCTCGAAACCGAACAGCTGCGCATTTATTTAGTAGTAATAATTTTTGTTTATAAAAGCACAAATAGGACAATGTGATTCTCCGGGAGTTTCTTTGTATGAGACATGGAATTACTGATGGAGCCCCGCTTGTGGAGTAAGAGAAAGAATGCAATTTACCACCTAGCGAAGAGTATTGGATCAAGTAGGCTTCTTTTAGACCACAAAATGAATAGAAGTTTTAGAAATCTCAAATGACAAGCCAGAAATCATTGTGTTGCAATACTAAAAGTAATAAGCAGCTAGCTGAACTAGAGGGGGTCAATTGGTTTTGTTGTCAGTTACAATCTTTTTAGTTTTACGTCAAATCTCCTAGGAGATCTTTATTTTTACACGTAGGAGATCTAAAATAAAATACAAGAGATCTTTGTAGGGTCATTTTCTTCTATTCAAATTGCAATGAGTTATGTTGAGCCATTTCCGCACTTAGTGCTCTAAAGTGCTTGTGTTTGTGTTAATGCAACAAATATCATTCTTTAGTTATCAGCATCCTATGGTAATTTGTTGCGTTGAATAAAATGCTTTGTACGACTGCACTTTGATTATGGTTAGTCTTGGGCATTTGCCATGCTCTTGACATTGTCTTACCAGAGAACTGGCTGTATTGCAGGTGGACACCTTATGGAAATACAAAGTGCATGATTTGCAAGCAACAAGTGCATCAAGATGGCAAGTACTGTCATACCTGTGCTTATAGTAAAGGTAATGAAGAGTAGTTTGGAATTGCAAATGATTTATATCATTGTATCGTTTCCTTGTGTTCTCTCTGAAGTGTTCTTCTTGTGCAGGAGTATGTGCAATGTGTGGAAAGCAAGTTCTTGACACCAAGTTATACAAACAGAGCAATGTATGATGGGGACATGAACGATCTAACTTGGCTGTTACCTCAGCACTCTTATCCTAGAGAACTGTTCTTTCTTTGTGAATGCTATCAAATGTGATGAGAAGCAGTTAATTCTGTATAATACTTAAAGAGCTGCAGTGATTGAGTTGCTAGAAATTGATCTTTGGAAACATTAATTTCAGTCAGTCTTCACTACCAATGAAAAAAAGAAAATATTAAAAAAATCAGACAGTCTTCACAATTGATTCTTTTGTGCTTTGGTCTCTCCTACCTTTCGCCCACTGTCTATTGTATTGACAAAAGGTTGGATTGTCATTGATACGTATCCTGAAAGGTTTAAGGGCAGTGCTCTTAGTTCTGTAACTAATTTAGATCGTTCTGAGCAACCCGGATGGTTTGAATCTTGTTTGCAGTTGATAAAAAGCAAAGGAACTAAAAAATTACTTAGATTAGCCTTTATTATTAGCAATGACTCGTGGAAAACAAAATGACCAATTCCGGACATATCAATGACACGGTTTATTGACTGGTAGAGGAGAGAATTCCAGTACTTCTCAATCTCCTCTGCACTTCTCCCGGGGATTCCCCCAGCTATAAGCAACCACCTGAATCTGATGATGACTACCAATTATCATTAGTTTTACAAACGGACGGACTTTAACAAAAGTAAAAACAGTAAATATGAACATGGAAAATGAGATGACGAAACCTCTCTCCAGCCAAATTGTACATGATTATCAACTCTTGTTCATCCTCAGAGAAATTAGTTTTAGCTATCTTTCCTGAAACAAGTCAACAACCATTGGAGGACTACCATGGAACGGGTAACAACAGAAAAACAGAGAAAAAACGATTCAAAAAGCAAGGAGCGTTTATACGTAGGTACCTTGAGAATCAGCAGGAATGTAATTAAAGGAAGAAAGGTGATCTGAATGTGCCGTTTTGAGTTGAATGCAGGCCAGAATATGATTTACTAGGGGAGCTAAGTATATATAAGCCTATGCTTTATTGTACGTCCCCTTAGTTTCCATCATTAGGATGACTTGAAAAACCTATAAATAGCACTACGGATTTCAGAAGAGAAAAGGTAATGCGCTGACTGTTCCCGCACAAGAATTTCCAAGGTGGTTGAGTGAGTGATTCCTTCTATTATGTGTTGGAGGCCTGCTGGAGTGCTGGACTAATTTTATAGGTTTGCCATGGAATTTTTTAACTTCTGATTTGAAAAATGGGTTCAGAGTACTAGGAAAGTAAAAATGGAGTATTTAATTTCTTATGCAAAATGCATCTTAGCGAGTCGTGCCACAGACGGGATGCTCCGTGGCCCAACTGACAATCATCCCCTGGCTACATGCTCCACACACTGGTAGCATTTGCAGCACACACTCCATGTTGTATATTTGAAAGAGGTTCTTGCTTCTCTCATGGTACACTCCTCTTCCCGTCGATCCTCTTTTCTCCTCGGTCCACAGAGACAAAATCTAGCATTGGTACCAACATTTCATCAGACTCACTAAGTCGGGATCACTAACTAGTATTAATCTAATATAATAGTCTCATATATCTAATATAATAGAAAATACTAATATAATAGAAAAGAACTGTCTTTTTTGTATACTTTTCCAGTTCTGTTGCTACCACGGGTTTTACGCAATAATCGGATTAAATAGATATCCGTTCAACATATGTCATCGAAATGATCTCGAAGACCCACCAAAGTACGAAAGCTTGCAATTGTGAATTGTGGTGGTTCCACTCGTCTTCGATAATCTACAGCTTGATTAGAGACAAATTATGTTTTAGGTCTTAAGTCCATGTCCATTTTGTATTATAGATCGGCTAATATGATGTAATGGCAATTCCTCGTCTAATCTTGTAGCTTGGGTTCCTTTTTAAACTTATATATGACGATTAAGTAATTGAAGCTAGGGGTGCACATGGAACGAGTTTGTTCGGTTTTTATCAAAACCAAACGAAATCAACTATATTGCTTTGGATTGGTTCAGTTTTGCCGGTTTTTTCGGGATTTTTTTGTTGCATAAATATTATTTCATTCTTACTTTGTTAAAGTTTTATATAATGTTTTGATAAGTAATTGTATGTTTAGTAAAAATTTAAAAAATCTGACAGATATATGATCTATTAAATATTCTTATGGGAGAATATTTTTATTAACACATGATAGTTATTTTTTTAGCTGTCTAACAATAATTTTTCGTTGGTGTACACTTTCAAGGTTAATCGAATTTAATAACTAAATATAAAAATCAATATAAAACCTAAATAATGATATGTTCTATTTAATTTTAAAATTATCGAAATACCATTTCAAATTCGAAAAAGAAATAAGAATTTAACAGATATTGACATATGAATATAAAAGAATAAATACATTTCAATAACACTTGATAATAAAGTGATGATACAACACATTTGTTTGACAAAAAAATATAGATCTTGGTTCAACTAATTAAAATTTTGTAAATGAGGGTCAATCTTAATTAACAATAATATGTCAAAGATGAAGTTCTCAGAAGTGTAATAAATTCTACGTAGATATATTTTAATAGTGGCAGCAATTTACAATCAATACTTAAGAAGTCAAAGGAAGTAATGTAGCATTAAATATTGTTGAATAGCAATAAATGACATTTAAGTAAATATAATGAATGAGTCACCCAAGAAATGATGGAATCTGTGAATATTCTTTCTAACAATGATGAGTGATGGACAATCCTTTGAATATCTGAGTTATTCTCGGATCTGGTGGAAAAGCGTAGACAAGAATCTTAACGAAAAAGTTGTGTTTGTATCCTTGCAATAAGATCCGATTCTCTCCTTTAAAGGCAAAGTATATTTTACAAATGAATCTCGCATGTCCCATATTATTGTGTCTCTTTCTATTTATAGGGAACATGTTCCTAAAAATCCTAACAGTACAAGTGCAGAGAATATCCACTAGAATATGCTCTTTTATGTCCTATCTTGAAACTAGCCGTTATAACTATATCAAGGGTGCTCGACCTCGGCCTTGATCCTTGATGACTCTCCGATCACGACCTTCATTGTTGATTAGATCACTCCGACCCATGGCGACCTGGAGATGCTTTACCGATGTCATTTTAACTTATATTCTAGAGATAGATTTTGACCCATACAGTTAGTCCCTCCGCTTATTGAGGCCGGCTTCACGGAAGAGTTCGATGAGTGGATCGCGTTGTTGGTGGTCGAACTAATCAAGCGGACTGCGTAGGTCATGGTTATTGCGGCGGCCGGGTAACGTGGCCCTCTATGGGCCGCACATTTCAAATACTTCGAATTTCTCGGGCGATTGGCCGGAGTTATGCTATCCACGAGTTAGGATGACGTCATGATGTCATGCGTCATTTTGTTTTGCGTGTGACCTTTGATTAGACATGCCGCTTAGGTTCCAGTGCCAATCATGATGAGTCGTTTTCGATTTTGGTGCCATGACCTTTATAAATAGAGGTCTTTGAACACAATTGTGGAGTTTTAAATCTTCTAACACTTCAAAATCCCATACCTTTCTCTTGCTCTCTTCTTATCCGAATTTCTCTTCCCTGTTTCAGCGACTTACCTTGTTCTTCATTTCCTCTTGTTTGTTATTCTCCTTCCTTACATTGAATCATGTCTAACGTTCCTTCTGAGGTTGGAGAGGGGAGTCGTGTTGCTCCCTTGGCAGTGGTGTTCCCCTCCTATGGGGAGAGCATTCCTGCCATCGCTGAGGAGGAACCCTTCCCATCAGTGGAGGAGATAGTCTCACGCAACCCTGATTCCAGATCCGATTTCACCAAATCACCTGAGGCCGCACCTGGAGCTTTTCGATTAGTGATGACGATGAAGGAATTGGCGGAACTTAAGGCTAAATTCGGCCTTCCCAATCATATCAAGTTGATCCCGACCTAGGGGGATACGGTATAGGTTCATCGTCCTGGGTATTGCGCCCTCTACGCCTACGCCTTCTAAGTTGGATATTATTTTCCCATCCTTCCACTGGTGGAAGATTTCTGTCTTCACTATGACGTTTGTCTTGCTCAGCTCGCGCCGTACGTCTATAAAGCTATAAAGATGCTCACTAAGTTTGCTGAGCTGGTCGGGGTTGAACTGACACAATGTCATTTAATTCATCTATTTACTCCCAGATTTTATAGGGGAACGATGCTGAACCTTCACCACCGAGGGGGCAAATGCCTGGTGGTGAAGATGGATGACAAGTCCAATCATCAATTCTGGTTTAACTTCTTTTTTGTCAGAACCGAGGACGTTGTGGCCAATGTCCACGGCTTCTTTGAGGCTTGGAATTATACTCGTAAGTACTTTGGTTTCTCCCTCGTGTTCGGTCCTGAATTTTGACTTCTCGCCTTCTTCTTTTGCAGTCAAGACGTTGCCTCCTCCTTTGGACGCTCATATTTCTGACTGGATCAAACTGATCCTCCCTTACATCGTAGGGATTCGTGAATGGCCAAGTTTTTTCAAGAAATTCCGACTTGCTCTCCTTTTCGACTGGTAATTTCCTTTTAACCATCAGCGTCTTGATTTCTTTGTTCATTTTCCTTCGGTGGTTTTTCCTTTTCCTATTTTTCTCTAGCTTCGGCGAGGGGGTCTACGAGGAAGTCAAGAGCTCCCGCACCCTCATTCCGAAAGAGGAAGGCTACTACGCCCTCAGTTTCTATCCCTATTTCGACCGCGATTGATCCTATCTTCGTTCCAGTTTCCTCTGTTGCTGCTTCCGAATTTGTTCCTGCTTCGGCCGTGGAGACTTCAGATTCTTCTTTTATTCTCTCATCGACGAGGATGATGAACCTTTGCCTAGTGATGGAGATCTCCTACCTCGAAAGAGGAGGTCCGTGGATGTTGGTGACAGAGTTATCTGGGTCATTGATGCGACAGAAGGGGACTTTTCGTTGCATGAGACGATGACCATTTTTGTGGGAGATGATATTGAGCCTAGTCCCGAAGTTCCGAGGTCGGGGGGAGACGATATGGATGTGTCTCTTCCTTCTGCGGTGGTGGAAACTAAAGGGACCACTGCTGATGTTCTTAACACTTCACGGCGAGATGAGGCATCGACTTCTCGAACAGCTGCAGATACCTCCTTGCCGGCCAATGAGAAGGGCAAAAGAGTCGATGAGAATGGCGATGAATCAGGTTCTGACGTTCATGC